TAATAAATATTTATATATCCAGGCATTGCCAGAACGAGCATTTGTAATGCAAATGGGTTCTCATTAGTAGGTCTAGGTAACTAGGTCTAGGTAGGATTTTTTTTCTGTGTACAACCAAAACAAGCTGGATAATGCAGTGAACGATGATGAATCACGTTGAACCCCAGCTACGCCCTTCGACACGTCCCTCCCCCTGGCTAAATATATAAACATCGAATACTAGCTGATGGGGGAGCAGACTCTTTACTGTGAAGTTTTCAGCGCTGCCGATAAACAGATGCGTCTGTTTGCATTTGCCTTTTTTTTTTCCTTCATTCTCCACTATTTGTTTGGCAATTTTACAAATTGCAAACAAACAAACAAGCGAACACACACACAGACAAAGTTAAAGTCGGGCCAAAATGCACGCCAAAAAACAGCTATTGACCCTCAACTTGAACTAGAAAACCCAATAACCGGGCCGGCAGCATGGCGTTAAATTGAATTGTATGTTCGACCGCCGCTGATGCCGCCGCTCCCCCCAAACATTTTACCATTTACCATTTCGTGTTGTTGTCCGCTGACAATGCATAAAATTTGAATAGCCAAACAAGCGCTCTAAGCAACAACAACAAAAGCAGCAAACAAAGGCAACAATAATCAATAAGAGCTTTAAATTTGCCATTCAACTATTTTTACACCTATATTTTATAGCTGGACACACTTATGTGTGTGGGTGGAAGGAATACAAGAAAAAGAATCCTGCTATTGCAGTGTCATAGCTGCCTTCCTTTTTAAAAGGGGTTTGTAAAGGTATATTTTTATACTCAGAAAATGCGATAATACGACTAAAAAGTAATATATTTTTATATTTTTAAATATGATATAAAATGGCAACTTAAAACTTTTTAAAATATTCTATTCAAGGATATGTAAACCTTTCTGTTTATAGCTAGTCATACTTATTAACGTTGGGAAAAGGATAAAACTCCTCTTACTTATACCCAAACGTTATGAAAAACTATTTTTTAATTGATTAACTTAGCATGATAATTAAAAAATCAAAAATCAGTTTAAAAAAACCTTTAACTAAGTTGGTTTTCAGTTAAATGTTTAATGTGAACATTCATAGAATAGTTTCATTAATTAATAAATTATTATATAAAAATTCAGCTAAGCAGTCACTTAATTTGATCATTTTACCATTCAATTTTCTTCTCATTTAAATTTTTATTAAAACCGCCCCTTGTCTAAGCCCCTGCCTGACATTGCTCAGGGTCATGGAGTAACTGTACAAAACCTAGGCTAATTGGCAATGCGAAAGAGCGAGAGAAAGGGGAAGGCACTTGACTTTGCATGGGGTTACCGACACTCTCGCATGTACATAAAAAAAGCATTAACCATTTTGTAAGCTTGATTGCCAGATTTTTGCTTCAATTTCATTACACATTTTGTTTTTTTGTTTTTGTTTGAATCGCTTCTTTCGCTTAACGCTTTTCGCTGTTCACTTTTCGCTTTATTTGGCGTCGAGTTTTGAGTTTGTTTTCGTACGTGACCCCCCTAAGCGGAAAGAATCGGTTGATATGCTTACATATTCCCGTCTATATCTTTCTTGGTACACCCACCCAGTCATGGGGAACACGTGCAGATAAATGTTGGCAACAAAAAGTAACGATAACTATTTTTCGTTTTACATTTTTCAAGCCCAAGCTTCGATTATATTTACTTGGCGGCTTTTCGCGTTTGTTGTTCTGTTTGGCTTTTGTGTTATTGTTTTCCCGCTGTCTGTGTTGTTGTTTATGTTCGCACATGTATTATTTGTTATGTTAACGATTTTCTTCTTCTTAGTGGATTTGATTTAATTACCATCCAGCGTCGTTATTGTTATTGTTTCAAGTGCTTGTTGGGTGGGTTTAGTGCTTGTAAGTGCTCTGGGAGAAATAATATGGCACATACATACGAGTATAAGCAAAGTTCAATGGCAGAAGTTAAACTACAATTAAAGCGGGTTTTAGCCAAGAGTTCGGGGAAGGGGGTACTACTGGGGGGCGGTACTATCGTTAATCATGCAGCTAATTAATGGCATCAGGGCTCCCACACGGCATCGGTATCCGGCCGCAGGAGTATCGCGCAGTAAAATCAATTTAATTAATTCCCTCTGTATTTCAATTATATCTGGGAAAAGAGCTGACCGTTTGTTTATTTAATTTACTCCTTAGAACGAAATTAATTTGCATTTAACCAAAGAACTGCAACGAAGTAGTAAAGAAGTACAGTAAAGGTTCGGTATAAAGGAGTTTTGGGTAATAATAAGGTTTAAAAATATAAAAATTATATTTTTAAAGCAAAAGGAAAGTGTTAGCTATTGAATTTTGATCAGAAGTAAATTTGTATAATTTTGTTTTAATTTATATATTTAAATCTTATATAAAAATGTACAGATTTCGACATTAAAAATATAAATTTTAAAGGTAACTGTATAGTTTTCTTTAAAGTATAGTATTAAGTATAATTTATAATTTTCTTCTATAAAAAATATTCTTTAATATATACATTTTCATTTTTTAATATATAATTTTCTTTATTTCATTCTTGAACTATTTATAGACAATATATAAAGACAAAATAAATATTATTATATTCTTTCAAGAATGTTCATCTACCAGAGTCTCCATTCTATAAAAACCTACAAATTAATTGATTAAAAATGCAGAAAAAATATGCTATTCAATATGTTAAAAGCACACGTTATTTTTCTGATAACCACCCGCAGGTTAATGAAATCCATTCCCTCGATATCTGGAAATCAACCCCAAATTAAATGATAAAGTCTATAAAAGCGTTAATAATAAAGTGACACGAGGGCGAGAAGTGCATAATGCTAATGCCTTGATTAATTTAAAACCCGCCCGCTAATCTGATTAAGCGTGCACACGATTTGTATTGTTTTTATAATATATATACATTTTTTAATATGGTGCAACTTTTAATTACACGAATTTAATGCGTCGCTAGAAGTATGAAAAATAAATTCAAAAATCTAAATTTAGATACTGGTTCTATGGCAAAAAAAACAAATAATATTGAATATTAATTTTTCTAATGAGCTTGCTTGCCTGATAATAAAATTTAAGCTTAGCTGCTATGCATATAGATTTTTTAAACTAATAAACTTGTTCAAGTTGTCATAAAAAGATAAATGTTTTTGGGAAGTTAAAGCCCAGGTACTTAACAAAACTGCTAGTTATTCCCTTTTGAGTAATTAAAGTTAAGTAGCTAAAAGGTTTTATGGAAGCGGATTTACTAGAGATTTTTTCATTTAAAATTCTTCAAAGTAATTCTGTGAAAAGAGCTTTAAAAAACTCCTAGTCCTCCTTTTTTTCATTGCATTTTTCCTGCTGGCCTCTAATTGCCTGTATTTGTGCAAGTTTTTCTGTGTTTTTCCTTATCCGCTGCTCAGTCTTTATCTTTTCTTGAATTTTTATCTCTTTCAAGCATTCAGCTGCTTTTTGTTTCTTATTTTTTACCTAATTGCAAAGACGTCGTGGTTCGGAGAAGTCTCATTAATAATAGAACTTAATCTTCTTTCCGCTGGGAGATTGATGTTTGAGGGGGTTCCCTAAATAGAGCTTATTATATGGCAAATACATATATATAACCACACTTTATTTATCACTGTAGCGAAGGCTACGTGACGAAGACCACGGCCAAGAATCAGAAAAAACTAATCCGCAGCCATTCAGAACCCAGTTAAGGCCCGATATGAATGCAGCTGGGCATGCGCGGTGACGCTGATCCGATGCTGACGTCTATATACATACTATACATACGTATCTAAAAATAATATTATATCGTTCAGTTGGCCAAAAATATACCGACGCATTTCCGCTGAATATTAAGGATCGTCGATGACGATTCACGCTTTAAATACTTTGTAATCGAAACGATTTGCCGGGAATTCGCATAAATTAGACATTTACTTTCGCTTTGTATCGAATCAGGGGGAACATCTTCTTACGTAACGCTATACGCACATAATTAATAAGAATTTCAAACATTTCTCAGAGCCCAGACAAGCAGCGGTCCAAACAAAAGCAAAAGTTTGTTAACAGCACAAACAAATGCAAATGAGTCAAGTTAGTCTTCGGACTGAGTCATTTCCCAGTTGGGTATTTATGTGAATTTCAGCTTCATCTGTTATTATTTTTTTGCTTTTGCGAATATTTAGATAAGCCAGAGGCTAGAGATTGAATACAGAACACGATCTGCGACCAGAAGCCAGAAGAAGCTTAGAACTTGAAAGAAAAGCTGAGCTGGAAACCTGAATCGCTGTGGGTCCGAAGACAACTCTTGGCTTCGCTTCGGTCCTCAGTGATCGCAATCAGAAAAATAAATATGTTCTGTGCCTTGTATCATTGAAACTATATATCAAACTGTTTGAACAGTCATTAACCAGCAGAATTTTAGTACTTAGCAAGTCGAAGAGGTGTATACTCTTCTAGACATAGACTTTCGGTTTTACTTTGAGTCATGAAACGTTCTTTCCTTTCTAATTTAATTAGCATAAATATGGGTAATAATGGCTAATACAGATAGGCTACTAATTTAATTATGGCTTTATAAATTAAGTTAATTAGATATATTTAGCAAACAACCGAAAATAATTAATAATACATGCCCCCTAAGAGGATTTATATGGCTTTAAATATTTAGAAACATTATCAAAAGGTTAATTTTATATTATGCCTTAATTCTTCACTTTCTTTACCATATAACTGTTATTTTTGCCTTAAGTTATTAACTTTTTGCACCATATTGTTGGCCAGCATTTAATGTATTTCCAAACTTTGATTTTCACATCAAAATTACTCTCACGTTTGGCCAAAACTTTCATAAACAATAACTAAATTTCCCAGTCTAGTCTAGAAGCATTTGCTTAACATTTAAGGGATCACAAGTTATTAAATTTAAGAGAAACAAAGCCAGAACCTTATGTGAAAGTGTCTCTGATGGTTTATTACCTTATCCAATTGGCTGCGCCTTTCAATCATTTTGGCCACTTGGGTTTTATGTACAGACGAGGAATTCAACACACTTTCCACTGGCGAATTGCAGAAACACGAACACACAGACACACTCGCGGGTAAATAATTATTTGCTCGACTAATTTCCGCCTAATCGCGAAACTATATATATATTTTTTTTTTGGCAAACTCTGTTGCGGAATTGAAGTGGAGTTTTGTTGCTATATGGAAGGTATATTAGAGTGGCTATTTAAGATCTCCGGTGTGGGGCAGAATAAAGCCGCATCGCTCGAAAGGCAACAACCGTCTCGTGTTGTATGAAATTCGCAACTGAACTGAGTTAAGCACTTAAGAGTCTCTTACCCGACACTCAAAGCCTCAAGCTCCAAGCCCCCCAGTCTCATAGGTACACGGAAAAAAATGAAAGGGAAATATGAATAAAATATGAGAAATTATAAAGATAAATGTGAATGAAGCTAGGCTTAAATTTAAACAAAGTCTGATTTGTTTTTCTAAAATTAATACTTTAATTTTATCTAAAAATTCAAAATGTTTTCTCTCAGCTTAATTTACTAAATTCCATTTCAATATTATATAATTTTCTCTCATGTATTCTTAATTTTTCCCTTTAAGAATCACTACTCTTTTCTTTTCGTGCATAAGCCTGGCTCTGACGCTCTTTCTGGCCAGCTCAACTAAAGCCGGCAACGAAGCGTCTCACGTTTTGTTTTCTTTTCGTTTGGCGTTGTTTTTATTTTTATTTTTATTTCGATTTTTTTTGTTCAGCCTTTTTTTTTGCTTTTTAGATGGGCTGCGGGCGGGTTGAGCTGCGAGCGGGTTGCCAGGCGGGTTTGGCAGCTCAGTTGGCGCCTAACGTGTTTGCTGTGGGCCTGAGTGAAGGGACCTGGGGGAGGGTCTGGGTCTCAAGTCTGGCTTGGCCGGCAGTTAAGCGGGCGAGCACGTAGCTCAGCTGTTCGCCAGCAGCGCTGCGCGTGCGCAGTTGAAGCCTCAAGCTCAACCATTTCGCTAAGTGTAGACGCGCGACAGAGTAGGGTTTGTGACGGAAAGCGAATTGTGGGTACTCTTTATGATAAATATCATACAAGAAATACAAAAATAGCTTGTATTTTCTTATATTTTAAAATGTAAAAAATCAGTGTAAACTTTTGTGTCTGCTTTAATAATAATTTAAATAAATTTAAAGGGAAACCCAATAATTTATTAAAGTTGCATAGGAGAAACCCTGTAATAAAGCTTATTTGCTTAACTAATACACATAAATATGACAATTTAATACAAGTTTCCCTCGACTTTTCACCTTAAAAAATGAAAAAAAAAAAAACACTTCCCTCAAACAGCTTTTTTAATGTTTAATTAAAATGTTTAATCAATGATTGTATATTATTGTATAAGCTGTTCAGAGCAGTTATGACTTAAATAAAGTTCAAAAAGTTAATTTTCCAAGTGGATCAATGGGTCAGTTAGCTCTTGAGGGTATACGTCATCCTGTCTATATGCATTCTCTATAGTTTTTTGTTTCAATTCGCGTTTTTTTGTTTACTTTCGGTGGAGTGGTGCGAAAAGGCAACAGTCAGGCCTGACTGAGTGGCTAACTGATTAGTTGCCGTTTTTGGCGTTTGCCGTTCGGATAACTAAAAAATCTGAAGGGGGCCAGCTGCCTCTGCTGTTCAAATAATTGTTAATTTTTGTACAAGCACTTGGTATTGGAGTGGATTACACAAGAAGAAAATGGTAGGTAGCCCTCTGAATAAGGTAACCTGTGAGTCTTTGATGTGCCGAATGCTAAGAAAACTAATTTGTAACCTTTTTGTATTAGGAATTTTTATATAAAAATAAAGGAATATTTAACAAGTAAATTATTTTTATTTGGAGAGGATTTCTATTAAAATATATTAAATAAAAAAGCTATAAAAACATATATGCCAGCATTAAACTAGAGCATAAATTAGAACAGCTTCAAAAGACATTTGAAATATTATTTTTGGTTTCTAAAAAAATCTTAATAACATAAAGAAAATAATCTTAAGTTAGAAACAAACGCTAAGGCTTACAAAATCCATTTTTTTCTCTCTGTGTACTTTGAATTGGTCACTCTACCGCGGGGGCATTGACGTGTATTTGAGTTTGGCAGCCAGTTGTGAACACTTTCTTTTCCGCATATGCGGCAATCAATTCGCCATGCAGTCTGCGAGCAAACTTAAAACGAAAAATGCACAGACAACTGCAAATGCAATATGCAATAGCAAATGCAAACCTGCCCGTTGGCCAACTTTCACCTGGTTTACGCGGCGTATGATGAATATGACTCAGGCAGGGGCGCATCACTCATACGCCGCGTGGTCCAGCCAGGCAATGGGTGTGAATATTTATACTTTACCTGGTTATTTGCAATTTGTTCACACTTGATTTGTTTGCCGCACAACTTGATCGATATTTGACCTGTTCGCTGGTCTAGAAAGCCCGCTTTCAACTGACGCACGCCCGCCGCTAACAATTGTTATTTATGCCAAAAAAATATATAAAAATATAATACTATGGGAAAAATAGCTGGCGAAATTTATTGATATTTATTGAAGCAGTTTTAATTGCTCTGCGGCCAACTCGGTTGTGAATCAGGGCGTGACGCATTGCTGGCCAAAAACCAATCGCTAATGATTTCAGGAGAGAAAGAGTGAGAGATGCCATGGCAGCTACGAAATCAAATTTGAGTTTAATTCGCACCCAGACATCCTGCATACGGAATTTCAGAGGACAATAATTGGTCTTGGACGCGTACGTGATTCTATTGCGGAATTAGGTCCAGGCTTCCGGGTCTTTGGGTTTCCCGGAAAATGTTTGAATAAGCGAAAGATTTCCAAGAACACCAGGGAGATGGATTCAATGAGATTGGAATGGGGGGAGCCAGGCTAGGCACACACGTGAATCCATTTGGCATCTCAATTATGGTTGGATTCCCCATGTCCTGCCTCAGTCTCCCTCCATCCTGACCACAATCAGCAAGGTTATCTCAAATGAATGCACTCCAGCTGGAGCATCCAGTTCATCTTCATCTTTATACCCCAAATATTGTGGTCGGAAGAGATATAAGCCCAAGGTGATGGAGACTAGAGAATACTCTATATAATCTGCTTATATTACTTTTTATACTTTTCAGTTTTTATTATTTATATTAATAGGGTTAAAATGTAGTTCTTAGTAATTGTTTTTACTTTCTTTTTTGGTTGTTAAAAATGCTTAAGTTTCTTATGGAAATTTATGTATTATTTCTATTAATTTTAACAGCATTATACTAATATATTTTGAGTTCTTTTGATATATTTTGTATTCTTTATATATTCAAAATATTAAACATATTTATCCAAATAGGGCAATAACCTCTTCCCTTCTCATACCCCTTAAATTTTCCCATTTACTGGCCACTGGAAAAGCGGAAATTGTGCCAAGATTTCGAATTAAATTTCGACTTGATTCTGCAACTGTTTCTTCTCCGATTTTTTATTTTTTGCTATATTTCTCTTGATGTTTATTTTTGCCTTGCTTTGCTCAGCTTCTGCGGTTGCAATTATGCGAATCTCGTACTGCACACTCGAACATTACGTTTCAAGTTTATTTTACAGCACGCAGTTTTAATCACCGCCAGCATTGGTGACCTTAAACATTGCCAGAGTCTGGGTCTGGGTCTCGGGTTACGTGTGGAGATGGGTTTGTCTTGGGCCGTGGCATTGATGGGTTTGCTACGAGCAAACAAAAGTGACACAACTGTGCTGGGCTGGGTTGAAGGGAGGCCTCTATAGAATCGATTAAGTAATTTGTGTCATTTAAATACTTTTCCTGTGCCACTCTTATGAATAATTTCTGATTGATTGCATTAAATGAAGTGCAAACAAGGCAGCGAGACAACTGATGTCAATGGCAACAGGTGAGATTTGATTAACATTGAGCTGGGGGACTACAGGTAAGCCTTTTGATTAGGTGATTAATAAATAATGAGGAGCAGTGTTTGTATAAGAATAGGGTTTCAGTTTGAGAGAGAGAGAGAGGAATATTTCAAAATAATTTATAAGTTTTTGAAATAGTTAGTTTTATTTATTTTATTTATTATATTAGAATATACAATTATTTGAAGTAATAATTAATTTGACACGATTAACTGCATATGAAAATATTTGAAAATCTTTTAAAGAGTAGTAAATAATTTAGAAATATTTTTAGAATATTATTAAGAGTCTATGGTAAGTAAAAAGATTGTTTTACAGGGGTTTATTAGCTACAAATTTATTTTAAAATTTATAAAAAATTTTATATTTTGTGAATTTGTATTATTAAACATATTTAATACTAAATAATATATGCATTTCTCTCCAAAAATATAGTCATGGTAAATTCTCTCTTACCAAAAACTATGGAATTTGCTCTGATCCCTCTCCTATCTTTGTATCTCTGCAATTATTTCATGTGCCTCGACAGTGATGATCTCAAAATTAGTTTTAAATTGCCCCCAGTCAGCCGACATTTCGTGTACTATAATTTTATGTCATTTTAACTTAAATGTTTGACTCTAATCGTGAGCAAGCCACTAAACCAAAACATGTCAAGGTCGCTGTGTCTGAATCAGAAATAAATAAATAAAATAAATATTATATATCTATATACAGAAATGACAAAGACGCAAAGGTCAATTGCACTTGGCCGCATCGATTGCCACCGTTTTGCATTATTCCCAGCAACTGGCAGAACCGACTTTCTTCTTGGAAAAAACCAAAAGCCGATTATGTCCAAACGAATTGTAAGAAATTCAGAAAACCAGAAACAAGGTTCAAAGGTTTCCTGCACTTTCTTGCTCCCTTCAACAACTAACAAATTGTGTACAAGTTGAGGGAACTTTCCTTTGAGATTTTCTGCATTTAAATATAGTTTTGTTTAGCCAAACAAAGTCAGGAAATATAAGCAAAGTTTGTTGAACTCAAAGGTTAAAATAATATGTGAGATTTAGTTTAAATTTAGAGGAAACTAAGCTTAGTATTATAAAGATATTTTTGTGACTAGATTTTTTAAAGTTTAATCGTAGGGCTTAGAGTTATTTATTTATATCTCAAATAATTATAGACTTTCTTAAAGGTTTCTTGAAATATAAAATAAATTACCTTTAATTTTTTTCTAAAATAATTTCTAACCCTTAACAAAATCTGAAAATATATACATCCCCCCTGGAATACATATCCTAATCTTATTTTTATTCCCTTTCCCTATAATCCTAGCAACCTATCAAAATTTCACCCATAAAAAAGTTA